CTTTCCGGAAAATTGCCGGTAATTTTCTGGAAAGGTCTGTATGTGTGAAAGGGGCTATTGTCTGCAGAAGCTGTTTTTGGAGGAGACAAGCAGACATCACTGTGTTTGCCCTGGCTCAGTCCCGTTACATAGGCTGAGGCAGGGAAGCATCCCCACAGTGTTTACCTGGTGCCAGGAGCTGAAGCCTAGAAGGAGTGTATTAACTAATATAATATAATATATGATGCCTAATATGCTTTTAATTGTTTAAATTAAACTTACTTAGTGATATTAAAGTGATGTTTACACCATTTCTGTATTTTGAAATCTCGGCAACAGCTGGAGGTGTTACTGCAATGTTAACAGTGCTGATAAAACACTTCCGGGTTTCTTCCCACCACAGCCTTACTTTGGTTCTTAAAAATGGCGGTCGCATGAAATAAGCATATTATTAGGTGGTTGCTTGATCGGATTCGTTAACGGACAGAAGTTAATGAGAATTATTTCTATTATTTATTTAATTTCCTATTTATTGTATTTTATTAAGGGCGACTAAGTGGTGCAGAGTGTAGCACATTCGCCTCACAGCAAGAAGGTCGCTGGTTCGATCCTCGGCTCAGTTGGCGTTTCTGTGTGGAGTTTGCATGTTCTCCCTGCGTTCACGTGGATTTCCTCCGGGTACTTTGGTTTCCCCCACAGTCCAAAGACATGTTGTACAGTTAAATTGAGTAGGCTACATTGTGTGTGTGTGAATATGTGTGTGGATGTTTCCCAGAGATGGGTTGCGGCTGGAAGGGCATCCGCTGCGTAAAAAACTTGCTGGATAAGTTGGCGGTTCATTTTGCTATGGCGACTCCGGATTAATAAAAGAACTTATTAACATATATACATTAACTCATTAACATCTACCCCCACCCCAACCCTAAACCCAACCGTCACAGTAATGTAAATACAGTAGCTGTACAGAGTATTATTCATGTTATCTATTAAATTACACAATAAATTCTATTTTTTAATGCCTACATCCACCCCAATCTTAAACAAAACCATCACAGTACAGTAAAAATATTAATTATTGCTATACAGTGTCATAAAAATGCTGCTTTATTAATGAGCATATCGCACGTCCGGCCAGCTGCATATCTGATATAGACTTTACCACATTATTATTGTTGTTTGAGAAATAACAATAATAATAGGCTACTCGTTAAGCTTTATTTTAAATCTACGAAATCGTGAGAAAATCATAATCTTGATTGATTTTAAGTAAAAAAATGTGATTCTCAAATTAGCCAGAATCATGCAGCCTTTATATATACAGTTGAAGTCAGAATTATTAGCCCCCCTGAATTACTATCACCCCTGTTTATTTTTTCCCCCAATTTCTGTTTAATGAAGGGAAGATTGTTTTAGCACATTTCTAATCATAATAGTTTTAATAACTCATTTCTAATAACTGATTTATTTTATCTTTTCCATGATAAATAACAGTAAATAATATTTTACTTGATATTTTTCAGGACACTTCTATACAGCTTAAAGAGATATTTAAAGGCTTAACTAGGTTAATTAGGTGAACTAGGCAGGTTAGGGGAATTAGGCAAGTTATTGTATAATGATGGTTTGTTCTGTAGACTATTGAAAAAAATAAAATAGATTAAAGGGGCTAATGATATTGTCCCAAAAATGGTTTTTAAAAAATTAAAAACTGCTTTTATTCTAGCCAAAATAAAACAAATAAGACTTTCTCCAAAAGAATAAATATTATCAGACATACTGTGAAAATTTCCTTGCTCTGTTAAAAACCATTTGGGAAATATTTAAAAAAAGAAGAAAAAAATCGAAAGGGGGCGAATAATTCTGACTTCAACTGTATGTGACAGTGATGTGTCTCAGCTCATTAAACAGCATTAATGGTAAATCCGCTCAGATCTCAGACAACAGTCAGTCAAACACAGATTCTCATGTCAGGACGTTTTTCCTCCTGAAAGCTCCACAGGGGCAGAAACGCAAGCCTGCGAGATCCTTCCTCAAACCTCATCAATGCCTGGACAAACACCACCAGTCCTGCTGGCAGACGATCTTCTACACCAGAGACTTAAGTGGAGCGATCGACAAGTCAAACAATCCACACAGAGCCCACCGAGAGACCCACACACTCTGTCTCTGCTCACTACACAAACAGACAATGTATACAGTTGAAGTCAGAATTATTAGCCCCCCTTTAAATTAGTTTATCTTTTTTTAATATTTCCCAAATGATATTTAACAGAGCAAGGAAATTTTCACAGTATGTCTGATAATATTTTTTCTTTAGGAGAAAGCCTTATTTGTTTAATTTCCACTAGAAAACAAGCATTTTTAATTTTTTTTTAAAGCCATTTTAAGGTTAAAATTATTATCCCCTTTAAGATATTTTATTTTTTCCGA